ACCTTTGACCTCTGCCTCATCTCTCTGCAGGACACGGAACAGAAGAAGAGTGGGAACTATTTCTTCCTGGACGACTAAGACCCACCTGACCAAAGGCGACTACCCAGCCGCATCTTGGAGCCGGCGCACGCTCAAGCGTTATAACCTCAACATTTCATGGCCGGCCTGCCAAACAGCAGACATATTAAAACTTTAAATAAAAAAACATTTAAGAAAAACAAAGAAACATCAGCCTATATGTACCGGACTGCATTCAATAGCCAGCAATGTTGTGAAGTGTTTAAAAATAAAGTGCATTGCGTTGTGTGTGTGTGTGCGTCAGGCTGAACACGCTCGGCTGAATTCAGAGGCAGCGAGAATATTTTAACACCTATACATTTACAATCAGAATAAACTGATGCTTCCTGAACCAGGAATGCTCCGTGTGTGTCTTTGTTTGTAAACACCTTACAGACTCGAGGCTAACAACTCAATTCAAGTTTTATTCACAAAAAAAGATAAAGACGCTACAACAACACAGAGGAAACCCCCACAATCATATCACCACAAACGCTTTGTGACAATGGGAAGGAAAAACTCCCTTTTAACAGGAAGAGACCAGCAGGCTTGGGGAGGGACAGCCATCTGCTGTGACCATTTGAGGGTGAGGAGAGGAACAGAGTGACAACTATTCAGACTGTGCTAGACACCCACATTTAGATTCACTAGTTTACCAAACCAGTCACTGCAAGTCTTTAGACTGGAAGTAAACCAGAGTACCCAGACACACCCCAGGATTTGAGCCTTGTTGGTGTGAGGCAGCAGTGCTAACTGTGCAGACACCTAGGAGCTGAAATATGGTTTAAAAGCATTTTCATGAACTCTACACGCTTTAGATCAGAGGTGATCAATCAATTCTACAAAGGGGCCACATGAGAAGCTGGGACTGTTGTGGAGGGCCTCACCAATAAGCTGGACTGTTTTTTGTTTTTTTGATAGTTGCAATTTACAGACGTTCCCTAAACACATCACGTTTTAGTCACGGAGAAAGGGCAGCTATAAATAAACAACTAGTGTATGCCTGTTACTGCACATGGTGTGCAGAGACCGTCATGTTTGTTTCATGTTAACCGGATGATGTTATGATACATATCATCCTGCTTCCACTGGGTGGCGCTGTAACTGTGACCTGTTATTGGCATGTTGAGGTCTCCAGAGTAGAGATTAAACAATGTGTGGGGTTATTTCAGCGTTTATTGTGACGGCATGCAGTCAGTGGCCTCAGGGTGGATTCAAAGCAGGCCTCTGAGTTAGCCTTGTGGCAGACAGAGAAAAGGAAATGGTAATGTTTGCGGTGACTTCCTCCTTGACTTATCACTGTCACAAGAATTTCAGAAAACTTGGCATTGAGGTTATGGTCACTGAGATTTTTAGTATGAAACTCCTACGTTCCCTTGTTCTCAAGTTGAGCCTGCCCAAAAGTGACATTGAGCTAAGCTTTTCAAAACAAGGTAGTTAATC